TTTCAGTTTATTATTTTTGAGATTTAGTTTGCCTACACCCACATTTATAAAAAAAAAACTGCATAAGCCCACAAAAACAAGCAAGTTATAAGAAGGAAAATGTATGAGAGCTATAGTGTTTAAAACATTAAAAGAATTTAGAAGAAAATAAAGTTCTGGAATTCAGTTAAATAAAGTGAGTATGATTCAACATACAGTACAGAATACTTGCCCTCAAGAAGTTTACAATTTCATAGAGGACATAAGACAATTATAACACAGGGTAGAATGTGTTAAGTGTAACAGAGATACAAAAAAGCAAGAGAAGTTCAAATAAGGAAAAGAGCAAAGTATTGTGTGAGGAAGAAAAACAGGAAAGGCTTTGATGGAGTTGACTACACTAGTGAAGTGAAACAGCAGGATTTCAGCCAGTGAGAAGGAAGGAGGAAAAATGGATGGCAGTTCAAGATAAGGAAACTGCAAAAGCAGAATCACAAAAAGGATGAGGGAAGAAAAACAAAAACAATTCCTACCCTGATAGAACATTAGTGATAGCTATGTGTAGTCCAATATAATCTAATATAATCTCCATATTTGACAGATGAAAATTTTGGTTGTCAATTTGGAAAACATTTAAAATTTGTCTTTAAAACAGCTAGGAAGGTGGCTCAGCGGTAGGGTGCTTCCCTCACATGCATGAGGCCCTGCATTCGATCCCTCAGCAACACCTAAACAGAAAAGGCCAGAAGTGGTGCTGTGGCTCAAGTGGTAGAGCGCTAGCCTTGAGCTGAAGAGCTGAGGGACAGTGCTCAGGCCTAGAGTTCAAGCCCCACGACTGACAATAAATAAATAAATAAAAGCCACTCTCCTAGCTAGCCTAGAAGAAAAAAAAAATATATATATATATATATTATGTATATACATATGTATATATACATATAATATCTACTTCAGCCAGGCACCAATGGCTTAAAACTATAACCCTAGAAATTTAGGAGGCTGAGATCTGAGGACCTCTGTTCAAAGCCAGCCAGAAGCAGACAAATCTGTAAGACTCTTATCTTCAATTAACCAGGAAAGCAGGAAGTAGAGGCATGGCTCAAGTAATGTGCCAGCAAGCAGTGGAAAAAGCCAAGCAGGAGGTCCTAATTTCAAGCCCCAGTTGGCACAAAAAAATTAAATAAAAATAGTTAATAAATAGTTAATGGCCAGGTGCTGTGCCTCATGCCTGAGATCCTTAGTTACTCAGGAAGATGAAATATGATTATTCAAGTTTGAGGCCAGCCAGGGAAGTAAAGTCTGTAAGACTCTTATCTCCAATAAATTAGCAAATGCTGGAAGTAGAGCTGTGGCTCAAGTTGGGAGTGTTAGTGTTAAGCAAAAATAAAAAGCTCAGGGACAGCACTAAGGCCTTGAATTCAAGCCCCAGGACCAGCACAAAAATAATAAAATGTTGAACACTGTTTAACCCTTTTTTTTTTTTTTTTACAGGAAACAGGCAAGAAACCACTGTTCTTCTCCTCCCTCTCAAGTAAACTTTAATGTCGCAAAAGCATAGGAAATCAGTTTACCTTTGATAGTGCTCTTGGAAATCAAAAGGGAAACTAAAATAAACAACTATTCAGCAATAGCTCTGTTCACACCCAATCACACAGCTTTACCATTCATAACATAAGAAATTACATATACTGGGAAATAAGGCTAAAAGCCAGTTATAGTCATGCTGGAAGGATAATGAAAGAGAATATTAAGTTGGCATTTTAATTCCATTGGAAGTAGGGAACAGCTGTCAGTACTAGAAGACTAACAAAACCAGAATTACATTCTTGGAAAATTATGCTTACCATTTCAGGGAAGACAGTAAATTAAATCAGGAAAAATAAGTCAGCAGAATATAGAAACAACTCAGGAAAGCTAAATGAGGATCCCAACTCTAGCAATGCATGAATAAAGGAGGAAATGAAGTGGACAAAACAACAGTAAAAGGACATCTATCTGTATAACTTGCCACTTGCATAGATTCAATGATCTGGGGTGATATGATACACAGACCAAAAAGCCCATTTAGGAGACACAGGAGGTTCAAGGTAGGGGAGTGAGACTGAAGAGGCAGTGCTCATGAATCATCCATCGAAGTGAAAGATGAATCCTTGAAGACAACCACTCAAAAGCAGAAACTAAGAAAACAAGAAGATAAAGATATCTTAAAGTTATGTTTTGGGGAGGACAACTTTGCCAAAGAGGAACTGCTGGCAACAGCCTCAGGGAAGGAGTAGTCCAAAGAACCAGATAATTAAATATTATCCCAGAGGAAAGAACTTCAAGCCATTACCACTGTATTACAAAGTGAAAATACAAACGTACAGAGGGGTGAGATTTGAGAAACAAGCTGTCACTAGAGCCTTTAATAATATAAAATTCTTATTTGTGGGGGTGAGGGGAGAGGCTGGGAAGGGATGTGAAGGGTAAACAAAGGAGGAGGCTGCAATGCTTGGTAAGAAATGTACACATTATCCTGCCCATGTAATTGTAACCCCTCTGTACAGTATGTTCACAAATAAAATAAAGTAAAATTAAAAAAAATTCTTATTTGTGAAAGTTAGTACAGAGACAATAGCAGATACCAATTTACTTTCAGTGTGGCAATAAGATGAAAAAACATTTATTTTATATAGAAAAATATATTTAATAACAAAGCAACCATCGTTTTTTGTTGGTTTTTTTTTTTGGTTGTGGGGCTTGAACTCTGGGCCTGGGTGCTGTCCCTCAGCTCTTCAGCTCAAGGCAAGCACTCTACCTCTTGAGCTACAGCACACTTCCAGTTTTCTTCTACCTGGGCTGGCTTTGAACTTCGATCTTCAGATCTCAGCCTCCTGAGTAGCTAGGATTATAGGTGTGAGTGACCCACCAGCGCCCAGCCATCAGGAGTTTTGAACTTAGTTACAAAGTTACTCAGGAAAGAGCCAGCAGATCAAATTCCAGACAACAATGAGAACATTAAATATCTAATAATGATTTAAAATTCCCTTTTATATGCAGAAAATTGAGAGCAAAAGCCTAATATCACATAAGAGACTTCCAAACTAGCAGAGGGGATAAGGTTCTAAACTAACACATATCTTCCTAAACTTTAAAATATAAGAACTAAAAACTGCCTAACTCAACAAAAATAAAAGTCATAAAAATCATAAAAGATAAAAAAAAAAACATTTAAATGTTAACCTGAGTCAAAATCCAATAGGCTAATTTCTCTCTCTTTTTTTTTTTTTTTTGGGTCCAGTCCTGGGGCCTGAACTCTGGGCCTGGGCGCTGTCCCTCAGCTCTTCAGCTCAAGGCTAGCACTCTACCACCTGAGCCACAGCACCACTTCCAGCTTTTTTCTTTTTGCTTATGTGATGCTGAGGAATTGAACCCAGGGCCTCATGCATGCAAGGCAAGTGCTCTACCACTGAGCCACATTCCCAGCCTCTAGTTTTACACATCAAATTCCATTAATTAAAAAAAAGAACTTACAAATTCTAACTTCAATGAGCACCAGTGGCTTATACCTGTAAACCCAGCTATTCAGAAGGAATGCAGTTTGAAGCCAGCCAACTCTTATTTCCAACTAATCACAGAAAAAAAGGGAAGTGGTGCTGTGGCTCAAGTGGTAGAGTGCTGGCCTGGAGCAAAAGGCGCTTAGGGACTGTGCCCAGGCCCACAGTTCAAGCCCCAGGAGTGGCAAAAAAAAAAACAAAAAAAAACCAAAAACGAAAAACCTAACCTCAACAATACTAGGAGCAAATATGAAAATAAGAGTTAACATAGATTCCTTTTTTTTTCTCTTTAGAATAAAGTTGATTTGAAAGTGAATGAGCCAGGTAATTGTGGCTCATGCATATAATCTTTTTTTTTTTTTTTTGGTCAGTCATGGACCTGAACTCTAGGCCTAGGTGCTGTTCCTCGGCTCTTCAGCTCAAGGCTAGCGCTCTACCATTTGAGCCATAGCGCCACTTCTGGCTTTTTCTGCTTATGTAGTACCAAGTAATCAAACCCAGGGCCTCATGCATGCAAGGCAAGCATTCTACCACTGAGCCACCTTCTCAGCGCCGTAATCCTATCTACTCAGGAGGCTGAGATCTGAGGATTGCAATTCAAAGCCAACCTGAACAGGAAAGTCCATAAGCCTTTCATCTCCAATTAACCAACAGAAAACTAGAAGTGGCATTATGACTCAAAATGGTAAAGAGCTAGTCTTGAGCAAAAGAGTTCAGGGACAGTGCTCCAGGCCCTGCCCTACAACTGACCAAAAAAAAAAAAAAAGTGAATGAATAACCATGAAAGTAGCAAAAGCTCTCCATCAGAAGTGTCTGAAAAGGGGGCTGGAAAGGTGGCTCAGTGGTAGAGCGCTTGCCTTGCGTGCATGAGGTCCTGGGTTCAATTCCTCAGCACCACATAAGCAGAAAATAAAAAGCCGGAAGTGGCGCTGTGGCTCAAGTGGTAGAGTGCTAGCCTTGAGGTCAAGAGCTCAGGGACAGCGCCCAGGCCCTGAGTTCAGGCCCCACAACCGGACCCCTCCCAAAAAAAAGATCATTCTTGAAGTACAGACTAATTGATGGCTAACTAAAACAGGGGAAAAAATCCACTATGTTTAGTCCTAGATATATTTGGATATATATGTGTAAAAATTCTGAAACAAGGGCAAATTATGTTTGATTTGCGCTACTACTGAGAAATTATCATCCTTAAAGAATCACCACCACCATTTCTGTTCTGCTAAAACATGACATAGTCTAACTTAATAAATTTAATAACATAAAAGGGTTATCTAAGGTTCTTCTCTTGAGGAATGATACCTCTCTTAATGTCTTATTTCATGATCTTGGTCTGTGTCTTAGTAACAAAAGCAAGGTCAGTTGTTGAAATTTGTTACCTAAACACTTAAGATCCATTAACTTTCTGTTGGGTGTACGTATGTATTTATATATTTCAATAAAGAGCTTTCAGAACCAGTCATATTTTCTATCCAAGTAAAGATTTACCTGTAGTCATAGATCCATAACACGGCAATATTAACAAGCCATCTAGAGTGGTATCTTGAACATCATAATCATAATCAACAGACTCTGCCATTTGAAAAAGTAACTCACAACTTTTTTCAATTTCAAACTGGCCTGAAATAGGAAGGAAGAATAACTTCAGCAAATGAACAGCAAAATTTATTTAAAATATTTTTGAAGTCTGCATTAAAATTAGTCTTTCCTAATAGTTTCAATTAATCAGTCATTTGATCTACAGTACATAAACACATTAGATGTATCAAACCTCATCAATAAAACTGAAAGCAGCTGGGAACCTGTGATTCACACCTAGCAACTCAGGAGGCTAAAATCTGAGGATCCTGGTTCAAGGCCACCCTAGATTTGTGAGACTCATGTCCAATTAAGCACCAAAAAAACAGAGGCAGACCTGTGGCCCAAGTAATAGTGCACTAGTTTTGAGCAAAAAGCTGATAGTGTCTAGGTCCTGAGTTCTAGCCCTAGAGCTGGCTCTCTACCTTCTCATTCTCTCTCTGTCTCTGTCTCTCTGTCTCTGTCTCTTTCTCTCTCTCTCACACACACACACAAACACAGACACACATACACACCTGAAATCAAAAATACACTAGTTTGAAGGGTAAAATTTCTAAAGAAAAAGTGTTTATCACCTTCAAGCCTTTCTCCTTGGTAAGACCAAATTGTATAGATAAGGGAAACATCCAGGAGACACTGAATTTAGGTACTTCAAGTAAGTAGTAACTTCCAAAAGGAAAACAAATTGTTATAATGTCTCACTTCTGACATTAACACAAGGCAGAATAGGAGATGAACTATAATATGACTTAAAAACAGGACTCTTTCCTACTAGTAGGACAATACTACTTAAAAAGATACACTAGTTGAGGATGTAACTGTTTTAAGAAACTCAAAAAATACGACATAAGTTTCACCATAATACATGGATTCCATACTTAATGTACTGCTATTATCTAGTATCATTCCACTACTCAAAGCAAAAAGAAACTGGTAGGATATCATTTACCAGTTAATTAGTCTTTACAAAAGTGTCCATGTAGGGCTGGGAAGGTGGCTCAGTGGTAGAGTGCTTGCCTTGCATGCATGAGGCCCTGGGTTCGATTCCTCAGCACCACATAAGCAAAAAGAAAAAAGCTGGAAGTGGTGCTGTGGCTCAAGTGGTAGAGCGCTAGCCTTGAGCTGAAGAGCTGAGGGACAGCGCCCAGACCCAGAGTTCAGGCCCCATGACCAGACCCCCCCAAAAAAAACAACCAAAAACAAAAACAAAAGTGTCTGTGTATTTCACATTTTTATTTTGTATACTATCTAATCTATCCAGATGGTAATAAACAGGGCAAAAGTCAAGAAAAAAGTACCCATGGGGCTGGGAAGGTGGCCATATAAGCACCATATAAGCAGAAAAAGCCAGAAGTGAGGCTGAGGCTCAAGTGGTAGAGTGCTAGCCTTCAGCTGAAGAGCTCAGGTACAGCACCCAGGCCCAGAGTTCAGGCCCCACAACTGACAAAAAAAAAAAGAAAAGAGTACCCATCCCCAAAAAGGTAGTACTCTACTTGGGTGTCACATCCACTATTTACAAATAGTAAATATTAGCCAGGCATAACAGTATGCACCTGCTCTACCAGCTCCTTGGAGAATGAGGCGGGACTGCTTGAGCCCAAAAGTTCAAGGTCAGTATAAACAACAGAGCAACACCAAACATAAAATATATACATACATACATACACACACACACACACACACACACACACACAAACACAACATATGACATTGTACAATCTGATATGGAAAGCTTACCTGTCAGAAACACTAAGATATCTCCAGCCATTTCATTCAAATGAATATCCATAGTCACTTTTACAATCTAAAACATTAAAAAACAGAGAACAAATGAATTACCAAACTACTCAATTAACAAAAATTACAGATTCAAATAAAAGACATAAAAAGATGTCAAGTAATACCGCTTGAATATATGCAGTATTTTCTCTGTCTCGTGGGCCAATCAAATTGCAGAATTTCTCTCTGACTGGATAAAGCCTTCCAGGTATGTCAAATATAGGACAATTTCCAAAGAACGCAGAAAGCTTGGCTAACTCCATAGTTGCAGACATTATTACCACTTTTAAATGTTCCTTCCTGTTTGGAGACTTCTCTTGAAATAGCTTCTTTAATAAACCAAATAAAATATCCTGAAAGATAAGTAAAGTCTATTAAGTCCCAAATAAACTTAACAGTCAATCTATTTTAAGTACATAGCTATCCTAAATCAAGTAATTTCTATTTCAACAGATTACAATGTAAGTAAGGGGTGCCAATTCTCTGTACAATAAAAGCTACCCAATCAAATGAAGTACTTGTTAATAAAAACAGATAAGCAAATATTAATACTCACTGTAGTTAGAGTTCTCTCATGAGCTTCATCCAAAATTATGACACTGAATTTGGTAAGATTTGGATCTCCCAGAATATGTTTCAGTAAACACCCATCTGTCATGTATTTGATTGCTGTTTCCTAATGTTAAAAAAACAGCAGAGCAAATCAATTCTCAACGTCACAAATATGTAGCACTACTTCCTCAACTAAATTCTACCCTCACATACAGACATTCAGTGATCAAATCAATATGACTGAAACAAGCTCCTAAAATAGTCTAATATTTATGGTCAATTATGAAACATGATTTATACAGCTAAGGACTAACGGCCTTAAAAACAAAAAGGAAAGCTAACTTTATTAAGTTATCATTTTTCCATTGACTTCAAAAATTGATTTGATAAAATACAATGCCTTTGCACAACTGAAGATAATTTAAAGAAAAAATAAAAACACTAATGAACTCTTGTTTTGTTTTGTTTTTTTTGGGTCCAGTCGTGGGGCCTGAACTCTGGGCCTGGGCACAGCCCCTCAGCTCTTCAGCTCAAGGCTAGCACTCTACCACTTGAGGCACAGCACCACTTTCGGCTTTTTTCTTTTTGCTTATGTGGTGCTGAGGAATCAAACCCAGGGCCTCAGGCATGCAAGGCAAGCGGTCTAACACTGAGCCACCTTCCCAGCCCGGCATGATGAAAAATTCTGAAAATACTGAACAAAATTCTGAAAATACACAACATTGAATTGTAGATGTACCTAATGCCATAGGATTATACACCAACAAATGACTGAAACAGTAAATTTTAGGTTATATACATTTAACAACATTAAAGAAAATTTTAGGTTCAAGCATAACCCACATATCAAGGGCTTTATGGCTTTAAAACAGTGAAATAAGAGAGTCCTAAGAAAAATAAACATTATTTTCACTAATGAACTGAGAGAAAAAAATGGGTTAAATATCAGATACCTCAGAGCTAAAGCATTAACAATGTTTTAATTCTAATCTAGGGCTTTGTTTCTTTAAAATAAATATGGAAAGCCATGCACTAGTAGCTCATGCCTGTAATCCTACTCAAGAGGCCAAGATCTGAGGATCACGGTTCAAAGCCAGCCTAAGCAAGAAAGTCCGTGAGACTCTTATCTCCAATTAATCACCAGAAAACCGGAAGTGGCACTGTGGCTCAAGTGGTAGAGCGCTTGCCCTGAGCCGAAGAGCTGAGGAACAGCGCCCAAGCCCAGAGTTCAAGCCTCACAACCGACAAAAATAAATAAAAAGTTTAAAAATGTAATAAAAAAATGGAATTTTGAAATTTAAAATGTTTCATAAAACATCGTGGTACATGCCTATATCCCAGCTAAGGAGGTAGAAGCAGGAGGATCAGGCCAGCCTGGACTACAAAGTGAGTTCAAAATCAGCCTGAGCTACATTGTAAAATCCTGCCTCACAAAACTAAGGGCTGGGATATAGCTCAGTGGGAGATAGCTATATATACTATATATAATGTACATTATATATTAGATAGTCTATACGATATAAAATATATATTTGGCATTTTTCATACACATTAAAAACCCCTATCATAACTTTTTCCATTTTAAGTCACTTAAATATAAACTTAAGTACTTAAATATAAACAACTTTTATACCTTAGAGCTGCAATCATCAAAACGAACTTGGTATCCTACTTTGGATCCCAAAGCACATTTCATTTCTTCAGCAACCCTCTGAGCAACTGATATGGCAGCTACTTTTCGTGGCTGAGTCACACCAATCATACCATGCTGTGAAAACCCTACCATAACCAGAAGTTTAAAAAGAAGAAAAAAAGTTAGTTAGTGATATCTTCTTCCTACTAGAACAAAATTATTTCTGATCAATCAATACAAGAGGTTTGAATCCTTGCAAAAGAAAATCCTATTGTACTACATTTGCATCACAGATATTTAAGTATTAATTAAAAACAAGAATGCATCAAGAATATATTTTTTTGAGGGTAAGAGACATAGCTCAGTGGTAGAGGTGCTTAGCAAGTACAAGGTCTATGTTCAAACCCCAGTATCCCCACACACACACACATGCACACACGTGAGTGTGCGCACGCACACATACATATACACTTCCATTCTAAAAGTATATTTATTTTTTGCCAGTCCTAGGGATTGAATTCAGGACGTGGGCACTGTCCCTGACCTTCTTCTTTTACTTAAGGCAAGCAATCTACCACTTGAGCAAGAGTGCCACTTCCAGCTTTTTGCTTATGTGGTACTGAGGAATCAAACTCAGGGCTTCATGCATACTAGGCAAGCACTCTACCACTAAGCCACATTCCAAGCCCTAAAGGTATATATTTTAATTATGTTTGAGTTTTTCTTTTTTTTTTCTTTCAACTTTCCTTATAATACTTACTTGACTTTTTTAGACAAGTTCTTACTATTTCCCCGATAGGCTTCGAGTTCCTAGACAAATCAGTTCTCCTACCTCAGTCTCTCAAGCAGCTGAAACTACAAGTGCACACTACCACAACTGGCAAAGAATTTTAAAACCTAGAAATCCATAAAATACTACACACTTCCTAAAATAAAGGAAAAATTTTGTTCCCCCCCCAAAAAATCCTGGATTTAAATATACTACTTTTTATTGATTCTTGCAGGCACATTATATTATTCATTTTCTTGCAGGCTTGTTATTACTATTCATTTTCTCTGGAAATGGAGATTCATCTTACAATTGATTATACCTTTTTTTTTTTTGGTCAGTCATGGGGCTTGAACTCTGGGCCTGGGCGCTGTCCCTCAGCTCTTCAGCTCAAGCCAAGCATTCTACCGCTTGAGCCACAGCACCACTTCTGGTTTTCTGGTGGTTAACTGGAGATAAGAATCTCACAGACTTTCTAACCCTTTTTTAAAAATAGGGGGTAGAACTCAGGGCCTAGCACTTGATAACCAACTGAGCCACATCTTAGTTATTTTTTTCTTTCTTTTTTCTGGTCCTGGGGCTTGACCTTGGCCTGGGCACCATCCCTGAACTTCATTGTGCTCAAGGCTAGCACTCTACCACTTGAGCCACAGTGTACTTCTGGCTGTTTTCTGAGTAGTTTATTAGAGATAAAGAGTCTCATGGATTTTCCTACCCAGGCTTCAAATTATGATCCTCAGATCTCAGCCTTCTGAGTAGCTAGGATTACAGGCATGAGCCACCTGTGCCTGGCTTATACATCCTAGTTCTTGATGCTATTTTTTCTTCCTACTAGTATGCAAGTTAGTGGTATGATTTAATGGCTGGCAACTTGAGTTTGATACATCACACTAAGTAAGAAATATTAGTGAACTATATCCTACATAATAAAGTTCTTTACCAATCTTACAGTAGAAACTTTTCTCATACTGAACAGAAAGACTAGGATTTTTTGTTTTGTTTTGTTTCTGTCAATCATGGGGTTTGAACTCAGGGGCTGGACACTGTACTTGAGCTTTCACTCAAGGCTAGCAGTCTACCACTTTTAGCTCAGCGCCACTTCTGTTTTCTGTGTGGTTAATTGGAGATAAGAGTCTTACAGGGATTTTTTTTTCATGGGCTGGCTTTGAACTGAGATCCTTACATCTCAGCCTGAGTATAGCTGGGATTACAGTCATGAACCACCAGTGCCAGGCTCATTTTGTTTTGTTTTAGGGGCAAATTCTTACTATGTATTCCAGACTGCCCTAGAATTTTCAATCATTCTACCCCAGCTCCTGAGTTCCAGGATTATACAAGTTTGCAATACTGTGCCAAGCTCCCTTATGGGTTTTATATGTTAGCTAGCCTAGTCCTGGCAGAATCAAGAAATAAACAGTTATCTGATAATGCTCTAGAGAAAGAACCAATAAAAACTAATGTCAGCAACAGATATCAATACATTCCTTCCTCCTCAATATTACTTCAATACCAAATAGCTAATACCTTAATGCAAGAGAGCCACAGTCTATAGAAGAAAATTAACACATTCCTTTCATTCTCCTATTATTACTGTAATTAAAGCAGAAATATCTGTCATCCCAACTAATTCCTGAATTTGAAATAAGGCCACAAAGAAGCAAAGGATTGGGGCTGGGAAGGTGGCTCACGTGCCTGCATGCATGAGGCCCTGGGTTTGACTCCTCAGTACCACATAAGCAGAAAAAGCCAGAAGTGGTGCTGTGGCTCAAATGGTAGAACACTAGCCTTGAGCTGAAGAGCTGAGGGACAGCAAGCTCCCAGGCCCAGAGTTCAGGCCCCACGACTGACACAAAATTAAAAAAAGAAGAGGCAAAGGATTGTAATATCAGCTACTCATTAGGTAGAAATTGAATAGATTATGGTTCAGGGCTAGTCTGGGAGGGGAGGAAGGAACTAGTAAAACCCTATCTCAACAAATAAGCTAAGCATAAGTAGTGTGCACCTTTAATTCCAGCTAGGCAGCAGAATGTGAATATATGGATCAAAGTATGAGACTAGACTAGGCAAAAAAGGATGAGATCCTACCTGAAAAATAACCTAAAGGAAAAAAGTCAGCAACCATAAAGTCCTAAATACAAACCCAAGTACTACTCTAAAAAAAGAGCTGTAAAGGAGATAATATGAGAGTTAGAATTATAAAACAACAATGGGCATTTGCACAGTACAGAAGTCCTATTAACCGTAAAATGGGTATTTTTTAAATACTTCCAAAGTCACCCAGAATAAAATTTTACCTGCTTCATATAGATACTTTGGGAGCTGAGTTGTTTTACCACTTCCAGTATTTCCAGTAACAATAAGGAATGAATTGTCCCTTACAGCTTGAATAAGCTTTTTTCTTTGTTTCTGAATAGGAAAAGTTGGAGTAGTTCCTCCCTCTTGTGATGTGCATCCTTTCTCCTCTGTTATAACAGAAAAAAAATAATTGCACAATTAAAAGACCTATGAAGATATCTGATAATTTCTCAGAACTGCAAAGGCATCGAATTCTAGGGTTGGAAGGGATCAATCCATGACTTTCCAGTTACATCATCTATGAACAATTCACTGGAGGAGGTCTATAAGCTTGCAATAACTTTTTGGTGAAATCAAACTTCAGGCTTTGTTAATACCTAACTCAAAAGTACTTGACAAAGTGGGTTTGGCACAAGGCAATGCATGTGCAAGCATTACCTACACAGATGCACAAAACCCCAATTTTCTTAAACAATAGACCAAGAGCTAGAACACCGCAGAAAACTCTCAGCTGAATTGGAAGGCACCTGTGTTTGCTTCTGATTCATGGTTCAAGTTAGGTCCCTGTTCAGAGTGACTGATATCCCAGAAGGCCAAGTGGTGGGTAACCATGGAAACTGGCTCCTGGAAACTGGCTCCCTTCATACCGTACCCAAAGGCAGGCTGGCGGCCCGAGGAGGGGGGCGGGGGGGGATATGAACGGGTAGAGAACAAAGGCTTTAGGAGTCTGTTTAACAGCAGAACGCATATCGGCGTTTGGGGTTCACTTTTTGGCCCCCCGATAAGGTTTTCTCCCAACTTGGGCTTGGGACCGCCCCCCTCGAAGGCAAAGTGCTCACTAGTCTCAAAGTTCGCCTCAGGCTGGGAGGAACAGGAGGACGCCACGGCTTCGCGCCCCCCCCTCCCGACATTCTTCTCAGCCTACCCCAGGGCGGACTTTCAGCCCCCCAACCCTCAGGCCGGAACAAACTCCTGCAGTCTTTCCCCAGCGTTCCCACTCCCCCCCCCACTCCCCTCCCCGCCCACGGTTCGCACCTCTATCCGCGATGGAAACCACCGACGGCCGCTCTTCCTGGAGCTCCCTCGACCGCTCACCTTCCTCCTGCCGCCTTGGCGCCCTGCCCGCGACGGCAGGAAACCGGGACATAGACCTGGCCCGGAGCGGAGGTGAGCACGTCCAGCGATGTGAGGAGATTGTGGGGGGGGTGAGGGTGAGGGGGGGGGAGTGAGCGCAGTCGCGCCCTGATGACGTCAGGCTGTTTACTTCCGCGCGTGCGACTGGAAGCGAAGGGAGGGGACGCGGCTGGAGGATGACGTGGCGCGCGGTGGCACGCCAGCTGAGGCCCCGCCCCCAGGGCTTTCCCGCCAACCGCCACGTGCCTCCTGCCTCGGGCTGCGAAGCCATACCAAGCGTTTCCCTCGTGTTCTGTGCCACGGAGTCTGGGCTTGACACGCTTGAGTCAACAGAACCCTTGGCTGGGGACCCAGTTAGAGCCATCTTACAGGGAGGCCTTTGCAATTTATGCTCCTCTTTGTCCATCTGAACTGTTCAAGACCCACAGTTACTGACTGGTCCTCCGAACTTCTACTTATGGAGGATCCAAAACTTAGGTTCCCCCGTGCTGTTCCTGCACAGAACCCTACATTCTCATTGGTTGCCAGACTTTCTCGTCCCTCTTACTAGACACTAAAGCCCCATTAGAGTCAGAAATTCAGAATACAACTTCACACCCAGCAAGCTGTCAACATTGGTTGAATTTCCTGGGCTTAGATGAATGGATGATTGATCATGGAAACTAAGCCCAATTTGAATAGATGTGCATTCCTCAGAAACCACAATAGCAGAAAAGTTCCAGAGATCTACGGCATCTGAGATGGAGTGACTTAAAGGTGCTTTGAGTTGGATGCCAAGTAGCTCATACACATAATTCAGTTACTCAGGAGGTTGAGATTTGAGGATTGTAATTTCTATCACGCCTGGGCAGGAAAGTCTATGAGACTCTTATCTCCTATTAAACACTAAAAAAAGGAGGGGGAGAATAAGAGTAGAAAAGATGAGGAGGAGCTGTGGCTCAAGTGGTAGAGCACCAGCTTCGATTTAAAAAAAAAAAGCTAGACTCTGTGTTCAAGCCTTAGTACTAGAAGAAAAAATAAAGTATTTTGAGGCCAGGTCTTCCTGTTATCGAATCGGAAAATTTGTAGAGTCAACTGTAACAAAATCAGCACAATGTGAAAAAGATTGTTTCCTGATTTGTTTTTGAGACAGTCTTATTAGTTAGCCCAGACTGACCTTAAATTTGTAATCCTCCTGTAATTCTGGGATTATGAAGTGCATCTTTTCAGCCTTTTAAATGATTTCTACCATTAGAATGAGCCAAATTTTTCTACCAAAAAAGGCAGCTCAGGGGCTGGGAAGGTGGCTCAGTGGTAGAGTGCTTGCCTTGCATGCATGAGGCCCTGGGTTCGATTCCTCAGCACCACATAAGCAAAAAGAAAAAAGCCGGAAGTGGTGCTGTGGCTCAAGTGGTAGAGCGCTAGCCTTGAGCTGAAGAGCTGAGCGACAGCGCCCAGGCCCAGAGTTAAGGCCCATGACCGGACCCCCCCCCAAAAAAAAGGCAGCTCAAAGCTGACAGTCACTTTAGCCAGAGGCCAGTGGCTTATGCCTATAATCCTAACTTCTCAGGAGGCTGAGATCTGAGGATCGCCGTTCAAAGCCAACCCGGCCAGGAAAATATGAGACTTATCTCCAATAAACCACCAGGAAACCGGAAATGGTGCTGTGCCTCAAGTGGTAGAGCGCTTGCCTTGAGCTGATGAGCTCAGTGACCGTGCCCAGGTGCAGAGTTCAAGCTCTACGACTGACAGAACAACAACTGTCACTTCACCATCAACTCAAAGTCCTTACTCTGATCAGGCATCAAAAGACATAAAGTTACTGAAATCCAAAACCTCACTGAAATTTAAAATTTACTTATACCTTTCCCTTTACAATTGAACAACTCTTGAAAGTTTGTCATAATTTGAATGATACTAACGTATAACTAATAACTGGGGCACTACACAGAGCTGGAAATAGTTATCTCTTTTGCACCAAGGCTCCTAACCTCTAAATTCTGTTAAGAATTCAAAATACTACAAGCCAGGAACACAAGCCAAAAAAAAGAGCAGAAATATGCTTATATTATAGACAAGGAAGGGATTTGTGACCTTAGCAAGTATTTTAGAAGAGACTAGCTACAGTAATCATTTGAAACCAGTGGTAGGTACCATGTAGATAATTGTTTGGTGTAAATTATCTCCTTTGTTCCCTACAAAAACTCAGAGTAATCACCTATTATTTCTATAGGTTTCAGATTTGAGAAAAAAATCCCAGAAACTTGCTCATGATGACAAAACAAAGAGCTGAAAGGAATTTAAATCACACCGATTACTACAACAAGAGAAGGTTGAATTCTGTAGCTCTTGATGATGATGATGATGATGATGATGATGATTCCAGTCCTGAGGCTTAAACTCAGGGCCTGGACACTATCCCTAAACTTTTTTTGCTCTAGGCTAGCACTCTACCACTGGAGCCACAGCACCACCTCTAGCTTATTCTATTTATGTGGCGCTGAGGAATCGAACCCAGGGCTTCATACATGCTAGGCAAGACTCTAACACTAAGCCACATTCCCATCCCTAGCTCTTGCTTTTATTTATTTATTTGCTTGTTTATGTATTCATTTTTGTCAGTTGCAGGGCTTAAACTCTGGGTCTAGGCACTGTCCCTCAGCTCTTCAGCTCCAGGTGAGCGCTCTACCACTTGAGCCACAGCACCACTTCCAGTTTTCTGGTGGTCAATTGGAGATAAGAGTTTCAGGGACATTCTTGCCTGGGCTGGCTTTGAACCATGTTCCTCAGATCTCAGCCTCCTGAGTAGCTAGGATTACAGATTTGAGCCACCAGTGCCCAATTTAGCTCTTGTTTCTCTCTCTCTCTCTCTCTCTCTCTCTCTCTCTCTCTCTCTCTCTCTGTGTGTGTGTGTGTGTGTGTGTGTGTGTGTCATGGGGCTTGAACTCAGGGCCTGGGTGCTGTCCTTCAGCTCTTCAGCTCAAAGCTAGCACTCTACCATTTGAGCCACAGTGCCACTTCTGGTTTTCTTGTGGTTTATTGGAGATAAGAGTCTCACAGAGTTTCCTGCCCAGGCTAGCTTTGAACCATGATCCTCAGCCTCCTTAGTAGCTAAGATTATAGGCATAAGCCACCCGTACTACAGGCGTGAACCACCGGTACTGAGCTAGCTCTTGATTCTTAAATGTCTTTTCTTCCAGTGTTTGCAACTCATAGAATTGACTCTATTCTTTTATGAGAATTGCTTAATGAGAGCATCCAAAACAAAAACTGCAATCTGAGAATGAAGGAAAATAAAAGTGAAAACTCAAATGATGTTTAATGTCATTCTTTTTTTTTCTTTTTCTTTTTTTTTTTACAACCAAGGACATTTAAAACATGTTACTAATAATAACCATGTGCTTCAGGCTATTCCAAATTGAAAGATTAACAATTATTTCCTGCCCAGTGACCTTATAAATTGCAGTGGCAAACCAGACACAAATACAGAGTAAAAATAGAAACTATGTGGGTGGAATCTGGGGGAAAAAAGGTCAGTGTTTTCAACAACATTGTGTTTATGTCTTATTATCATTCGAATCACACAAAAAATCTGAAAGAAGTGATATTCAACTAACCATGATAAGTATAAATTACATCTGGAGCAGACCTTCAACATGTTCTTGAATCCAAGCAACCTGTTTCAGAGAATCCAAAAGAGACAAAAAGGAGGCTCATCATTAAAGATTCATGAACATGTAATCAGCAAACAAGAAAGGAAAGTATATGACCATGGTGGATGGTTGAAACTAATATGTAGAGGCTGGGCATGGTAACTCAGGAGGCAGAGATGAGGAGTCTTGAAGTTGGCGACCAGCACAGGCAAAAAGATTATGAGTCTTCAATGTAATAAAAAGTTGGAAGGGGTGGCATACCTGTCTTCCAAGCTACATGAGAAGTATAAATAGGAAGATACTAGTCCAGGCTATCCCAGGCATAAACACAAGACTGAAAAAAAAAAATAAGTAAGGAAATGGCGCTGTAGCTCAAGTGGTAGAGCGCTCACCTTGAGGTGAAGAGCTGAGAGACAGCACTCAGGCCCAGAGTTCAAGCCCCATGACCGACAAAAAAAAAAAAAAAGGTAAAACAAAAGGGGTGGGGGTATGTGGTTCAAGTTGCAGAGTTCCTGCCTAGCTAGCAAGCACAAGGCCCAGACTTCAAACCTTCAGTACCATCTAAAAAACAAAAAAGTAACTGGGTGCCATGACTTGAGTTTGTAAACTTAGCTTCCTGGGAGAAATCATGTAACCCTAGCTACTCAGGATACTGTGATCTGAGGATCTCGCTTCAAAGCCAGCTCAGGCAGAAAAGTCCATGAGACTCTTATCTCCAATTTACCACCAGAAAATCAGACGTGGCATGGTGGCCCAAAGTGGCAGAGCACTAGCCTTGAGTGAAAAAGCTCAGGGACACTGCCTAGGTCCTGAGTTCAAACCCCACAACCAAGAACCACAAAAAGTAACGTGCAGGACACCAGTTGCTCACTCCTATAATCCTAGCTACTCAGGTGGCTGAGATTTAAGGATCACAGTTCAAAGCCATCCTGGGCAGAAAAGTCCATAAGACTGTTACTCCAGTCTGGAGTGGAAACTGGAAAGTGACACGGGCTCAAGTGGTAGAGCGCTTGCCTTGAGCTGAGGGGCAGCGCCCAGACCCAGAGTTCAAGCCCCCATGATTGACAAAAAGAGTAACATGTATAGTTGAAATAAAATTATCCAAGATATTAAAAATGCAATAATAACCAGAAGGTTGAAAGTTGTAAATAGTTACATAGAGAAATCTAATAATTACAGAAACAATGAGCAATGGTATTAAAGTACATAGATTTTACAAATTCATTATTTTTACCAAAAAAAGAAGTTTTTTAAAATACAGAGAACTAGGCAGAAGCCAGATTTTAAGTAGATGAAAAGAGAGAACAAACAGATAATATAATTAAAGCATTTGAAGATGTCTAATTAGAGTTAGTGAAGGTAATTTTAACAGAAGAGAATAGCTGAGTTAAGATGTTACTTTTAGGCTGGGAAGTTGGCTCAGTGGTAGAG